TTTCTGATTTATGAGGTAGAAGCTTCTTTTAAAAAATTCTGTTACAGGGCCGGCCCCGTGGCTTAGTGGTTAAGTGCGTGCGCTCCGCTGCTGGCGGCCCGGGTTCGGATCCCGGGCGCGCACCGACGCACCGCTTGTCGGGCCATGCTAAGGCCGCGTCCCACATACAGCAACTAGAAGGATGTGCAACTACGACGTACAACTATCCACTGGGGCTTTGGGGGAAAAAATAAATAAATAAAATTATAAAAAAAACAAACAAAAAAATTCTGTTACAAATAATATCAGTGTCCAGTTATTTTAACAACCTAACTTTGTTTTGGTTCATTGCAAAAATAGTCTGCAGTGAACAGAGGGCTGCACAAGTGCTTTTGTGTTTTGATGTCCATTGACCTTCCCTTGAATCTGGTGTCATTGCTGCCATTTGCATTGAAATCTCCTGTGACGATGACCTCAGAAGGTGCTATTGCTATGGGTCTGTTTAACTCCTCAGAGAGTCTTTCTCCCTTCTCAGTCTTGCTATTGGTAAAGGCACTGCTATGAAGATCATTTAGTTGTGTAAGTTTAAATATGGTCTCTAATACCATTTGATAAACTTGTTGGTCTTTAAAACAATTGTTTTCCTGGACTCTGATTTGCTACTTGAGACACATAGCAGGGAAAAGAGATGATCCCTTCATAGAACAGGTGTATTTCTCCAGGAGGCCAATTTCTAGATAAGTTTGAATGCCCTTAGTGCCATTTGCAATGGACTGAGATCCTCATTATATTTAGTGTCTTGACATTGTGATGTCAATTTTCAGTCTGAAATAGCCTGTAAAGACTTGATTAGACAACCATTGAGATTCTGCACATGTCTTATATTTATATGGGGGAACTCTGTATAGTAGCAAAGATTCCCCAATTGGCAACAAAGCATGGTAAGCAGTCATCAGATTCTCTACACCTGCCAGTGAAGCATTTAAAAAAAATAAAGAGAAATAATTAAAGGCCGAAGTCCCTTCAGGAGACAAATATTCAAGAAAGTCAACCAGATAAAGCTAAAAATATTTCAGGTAGGAAGAAGGATCCGACTTTGCTTTTGACTTTATATTTGTGTTTTTAAATATGAATTTACCCCTAAATTAAAAGTATCATTAGAGTTCTACTTATATAAAGAATAAATGTTCATTGTTAAATCAATCAATGATGGAAACATGATGAAAGAGAGTAAAACATTTGAATGGTAATTCTTCATATCGTTTATTATGTATAATATATATAATTTTAAATAGACATTATTTTTGCTATTTGTATCTTAGAGTCCATTTTAGTTTATTTTCAAGCTTAATTCCTAAATGCTTTTTCTTATGTAATTAATATTAATAGCTTGGAGTTCATTATTCAGCAACTTTCTCCGTGCTCATACAGATAATATATCTGCATATATACATATATACATATATATGATAGGTTTATAATGACTTGTTGTACAGAAAATGTATATTATTTTCACTCCTGCATCTTATTTATCTTACTTAACAGTACATCATAAAATCCTTTCCTCTGTTTATTTTCTGTTGGCTTATTTTGTTCTCTATTTAATTTCTTCAGACAACTCTTTAGTTCCTTTGTTTTCATTATTTCTTCTTTAATAATTAAGGGATTGCCGGCTAAATTTTTTCAAAGTTTACCTGTGAATCATAGATTTGTTGTGAATTGTTCTTCTCTTCTATACGCTATCTACATTCTAGGTAGAGTGTAATTTCTATTTCTTCTTTGACCTATGAATTATTTAGGAGAGTTTTTTAATTTTCCAAGTTAATTTTTTTCTCTTTTTTAGTATTTATTTCCAAATTTTATTGGTTATAATCAGAAAATGTGATGAGTAAATAGCTTTACTTTTACAAAAAATCTGATAAAGTTTTCTTTGTGGCCAAGTACAAGATCTTTATTAAAGGTCTGATTGATTTAAAAATCTATATTTGTGTGTATCTATGTATGTATGTATATGTGTATATATATGTATGTATACACACACACATACACATCGTATACACAAACATTACATCTGTATTTTGTCATTCATTATTTTTCAAGCGTATACTCAGAGATTCTGGTTTAATTGGTCTGAGAATTGTCTGCGCCTTGGAGTTTTTAAAGCTTTCCAGGTGATTCTAATATACAACCAAGACTAAGAATCACTGCCCTACTGAAATAATGGTTCTAGCCAGTGGTTCCCAGAATGTGGACCAGCTGCATCAACATCACCTGAGAACTTGTTAGAAATACAAATTCTTGGGCCTCACCCAGATCTACTGAATCAAAAACTCTGGGGGTGAGGCCCAGGAATCTGTATTTTAACAAGCCTGCAAGATGATTCTAATACTCAGTAAAGATTGAGAACCACCAGTCTATATCAGTGGCTTAACATTGCGGGTGATTTTGTCCCCCAGAAGATATTTGGTAATGTCTGGAAACATATTTGTTTGTCACAACTGGGGCGGGGGGAAGGGGACGGCTACTGTTGACATTTGGTTGGTAGAGGCCAGGGATGCAGTAAGCATCCTTCAATGTACACGACAGCCCCTCACAGCAAAGAATTATCTGGCCCCAAATGTCAGTAGTGCTGCTGCTTAGAAACTGATCTAGACCATGGTTTCCAAACCTTGCCTCCCCATTACAACCAGCTGGAGAACTTTTAAAAATCCTGACTCCAGGGGCCTGCCCGGTGGTGTAGTAGTTAAGTTTGTGCTCCGCTTCGGCAGCCTGTGGTTCGCAGGTTTGGATCCCGGGTGCAGACCTACGCACCACTCATCAAGCCATGCTGTGGTGGTGTCCCGCATGCAAAATAGAGGAAGATTGGCACAAATGTTAGCTCAGGGACCATCTTCTTTAAGCAAAAAGAGGAAGATTGGCAACAGGTGTTATTTCAGGGCCAATCTTCCTCACACACACACAAAATCCTGGCTCCAGGTTTGGTTTAATTGGTTATTGGTGAAGGCATAGCATCAGGATTTTTAAAAGCTAACCACATGATTCTGTCCACAGCCATGACTGAAAATCACTGCTGTGGACACTGGTCATTGGTGTACCCGAAACTCTTAGGTTGTAATGGATGGATCAGGATGATCTTGAACCTGCTGATCAATTTTAACATAAAAAGATAGACGGTAGTCATTATTACCTCCTGATGTGACGTAATAGGAAGTACAAAACACCAATTTCTGAAATGGTCGTGCCAAAAAAATCAAACTTGAACCTGAACAAGCTTGTAGATTAGAGGTACATGTTAAAAAACCCTGTAAGGATGTCATCAGCAAAATCCAGAGTGTAGAAAGTACTCCAGGACAGATTGTTTTCAACAAGTAAATGGCAAGAAGGACAAGAAAGAGAGGAAGAGAGAACTGTTCTAGAATAAGAAATTTAAGACACCTAACCAATTTGTGCATTTTATTTGTTTTTTTTTTTTTTTTAAAGATTTTATTTATTTATTTTTCCCCCCAAAGCCCCAGTAGATAGTTGTGTGTCATAGCTGCACATCCTTCTAGTTGCTGTATGTGGGACGCGGCCTCAGCATGGCCGGAGAAGCAGCGCGTCGGTGCGCGCCCGGGATCCGAACCCGGGTCGCCAGCAGTGGAGCGCGCTCACTTAACCACTAAGCCACGGGGCCGGCCCATGTGCATTTTATTTGAATCGTGGTTTGAAAACACAACTGAAAAAAAAAAAGACATTTTTGAGACAATTGGGAAAATTTGAACATTGGATATTTCATAAAAACAAATTATATATTTATATATATATTTTTAGAGTTGTACACGGAGGAGTAACTGGAGATGATAGGTAAAGCAAGATTGGCCTATGTTGATTGTTTTTGAAGCTATGTGCTGGGTTTATGGGGGTTTATTATAATATTCTTTCAACTTTTATGTGTATTTGAAAAGTTTCACAACAAAAATATAATGAGAAGAAATATCTAAGTAGGTAAGAGGAAAAGCAGGTGAGAATGGTGTTAGAAATACTGTCAAGACAGTAGCAGTTTCCACAGTGTTAATAAAATAATAAATCCATTGGATTTGGGAATGTGAAAGTCATTTGATGATCTTCATAAAATCAGTTTCAGTGGAGAGGTGGATCTGAGCAAGCTTGGAGTCACTGAGAACTGAGAGGAGGTGATAATGAGGCAGAGAAGAGGTGGGAAGGAGAGGAAAATAGGTCAGACATGTTATTATGTTTGAGGCAGGACAGGGATATATGTGTTTGAATGATGAAAGAGATCCAACAGAGGGCAGATAGTGAGTACTCGGGAAAGAAATGGTGTGTGCATAAGCTTTGGTTTCCTTAGAGCAATGTCAAGGAGTGGGCACAGAGACCAATGTATATATATTCCTTAGCCTCGTGTCTGGCATAGTAACAAATTGTTATGAGAACTTTGGAATTTAGATATTTGTGACATACATCCATAGAAATTTCTCTTTTTGCGTGTGTGACCTTTTTTTGATATTTATATTTTTGGTGACATTCATACTTTTATCATTTTGCAGATTATTATATTAAAACATTAAAATTAATGTGTTCTTACATTTCTTTAAAATGTTTTAAATATCTAGAACAGAATTCAGAACTGCAGATAATTAGATGCATGTGTTGAAATAGTAATATATTAAACTACACCTAAAGTCATAGCTGAGTACTTTTATGGACTTAAATGAATAAGGTAAATGTATTCACTGGAGAGAGAGATGGTCAGAGGAGAGGGAGAAAGAGAGGGAATGAATGGGATTAGAGGGAGAAAATGATGAGAGCCTGTTTAAATCAAATGTTTATTCAGAGCAAACTTATGTTGATCACTGTTATTGTTATTTTGGTTATTTTTATTTCCAGCTATATTGTCTCCTTCCAAAAAGTATGACTTGAACTGTTTATCCAAAGGCTTTCCGTTGGCTTTTCTCTTTAATTGGCTTGAAAAATTGAGTCCAAGAATGAAACATGTTAAAATTGAGCTTTTATTTTTTTAACAGAACTGTTCATTATGAAGGTGGTGCTGTATCTGTTCATGCACGTTCCCTGTGGAGACTAGAGACACTAAGAGTTGCGTAAGTAGAGCTTCTAAATACAGCCTAATGAGCCAGGGGTACAAAATACTTCTAGTGCTCTTGACTTGCTAACGACTACAGCGAACAAGCAAATGAAACACTGAGGAAGTGGTGGAGAGTTTCTCTCTCCTCTTTCTCTTTCCTCTTTCTCTTTCCACCTATTTTATTTATCTTTCATTAGCCTAAATTCACCAGGTGGTAAGCAATAATTTTATACAATCTGCTTTTGTCTTTGGCCTCATTTGTTTTTGTAGCATCATCTCATCCTAGTCTGTGCATCTCCTGGCAGAAGGTGCTACTGGGACAGAATGATGTAAGTTTTGGAGACAGGACATATTGTTTGCAAGCCAGTCACACATTTCAGGTCTGACAGACTCTGGATTTAATCTTCTAAAGGCGCATATACACAGGGGAAACTTGACCATGAACGAAGGTACAAGAGTCGTTACTGATAGTCACTATCTTTGCTTAGAAAAAGCTTGAAAACCTAGTGAGAAATCTGGATTAACACACCAAGTCACCATGTATTCATTATAGAAATAAGAATTTATATATTTATATATATATGTATGTATTCTTTTTAATGATTCAAAAAGCTGTGTAGAGACTGACTTAGTTCCCTTAAATAAATGCAATATTGATGATAAAGGTGTCATTTTGAACTATTTTAAATAGAATTAAAATATCAGTCAAATTTTTAAAAAAAATATTACTGGAAGATTCAGTCCTTTGCCTAAGAAGCAATAAGTTTTCAATGTATTTGTTCCCTATTATATTATACTTTAAAGAAATTATTGATTTAGGATTATAGAGCCCATGGGTGGGAGTAGGGAACTATCTTAGTGTAAAACAGCTGTCTTTGTAGATCTAATATTTTGAGATTAATGCTTATCTAATGATGATTAAAATAGTTTAGTGGTCTTCAGTTGTTTTTGCTTACATATCTCATATAATAATTTTGAAAAACTTTGTATATCCTTGAACATTGTAAGGTTTGACCTGGAAATTTTTTCATTATCAGTTTAAAGAGATAACAGAGTGTAACAGTGTATTATAAGTAGTGATAGTTTAAAATAAAATGGTTACATCACTCTTTTAAAAGTATTCCATTGATTCTAAGTACTGCTGTGATTCAATACCCATCTTTGTTTATTTAAAAATACTTGAATGTGGTCTTCTTTAACAGTAAAATTTGCATATTTTTCCTTTTTCTCATTGAAATCATATTTCTGTTACTCTCCCATGACAGAATTTTGTCCCAATCATATTTTTTTATGAGGGAAAGACTTTTCCTGCTCACTCTATCATACTCCTATGCAACACAAATATGTATGTAAATTAAATTTACTTTTTTATTTCCTATGATAGTAAATCTGTAATTTTAAAAAGTTCTTCTATATTAACCTCATTAAATATTAATTAATTGATAATATTAAATTCCTTCTATATAAATACATGGTTGATTAAATTCACCTAAATATTAAAACTTTTGATAAATATTGTAACTCGTAAGTAAAATTTTATTAGAAATCCATCTCTTAATAAGATAGAAAAAGAAGAGGCAACCTTATAAAGCAAAAGAAGGAAAACATAGCTTTTATGTACTTCATAAATTATTCATAGAATTTAGGGAAAAGGGCTTTAAATATGTACATGTATTTCCTTTACCTTGTGTGTTATTATAAATAGACAGCTTAATTAGAGAAATGAAATAGCCAATAAAAGTGAGGTTTAGTGAGGTTTTGTTGCCTTTATAACACAGATTCCAGATGTCTTCAAATTTATAGGTATACCTACACTTCATGATTGTGTGCTTAAAGAAATGGATTTTCTTTTTGAGCAAACAAGCCCCTAAATCTGTCTTAATTTACAGATAGAGAAAAAGGGAAGCATGAGAGCTTCTGCAAACCTGAGAGGGCTTCATTTTTATTGTCAACAATATAATAGATGAACTGTAATTACATAAATCCAGATTGTTCTGCACACCTTGCTATGCACACCTAAGACTATGTTGTCTTGATTCTGTTTCTCTGCTGTTGCCTAATGTTTGAAATTTGAAATAGAAAGTTTGGAGTTTAACTTTAAATTTGGATAACTGATAAATAGAAATGGCCTGGTCTCATGGTCACCAGAGCTGAAAGGGGGCACGTTACTAAAGATACTAGTGACTTGTGGTTATGCTGATTGCCTCTCAGACTCCAGATGACACCAAAGGGAACTTGACAGCAAAAGGCAGAGCAGGTAGTATTTCAACCATTTGAAAGATTGAAGAGAGATGTTTTTATTTTAACTCTGTGGCCCTTGATTTATAGCCTTTCGGCATCCTGTCTACAGTAGGAAATCAGGAGGTTCATATGTAATGAATATAATTATTTTAAAGTTTTTATTTTTTTTCTAGATTCTGCTGAATCTTTGAACTACTTTGGCTTCATTGTAAATGTACAAATTATATTGTATTTAAATTACATGTTATATGCAATGGCCATATAATTACTAATTTTTCTTTATGCTTAGTTGAAATGATAGTCAAAGAGCCTGCTTATATTTATAACAGAACTTTATTTCCAAAAGTCAGTGTTTCTATTATAATATTTGGGATATTCTATGTTTTTTTTCCTCCAACAAGGCCCCAAACTATGTATTCATTATAATTTATGTAGCCCAGTCATTATATTTTTTATATAGCATACTTAAAGAAATAAAGTTAATGTTGTCAAAAGTTTTTCAGTATCATGACCATTTTAATAAAGCAAGTTTTAATTTAGGGAGTTAAGTATAATAGGAAACACATTCCCGTATTTTACCCCAATGAAAAGTTGTAAGAACATTGTAAGTAGGATATATGTTAGTTTCTGTAACGGGAGTTATCATTGCAATTAAAAATATGCATTATGTAAATTTCAAATCCCACTTTCTTCTATGTTACAAATAAACAAAATCAAAGGTTGACATATCATGAAGAGTGAGCAAATACTCCCCATTCCCTTTAAGTTAATTTCAAGTAAACCTAGATAATAGATGGGGAACAGTTTTCTGATATGTTACTGTAGGAAATTGCTGTGTATAACTCCATTACTATTACTACTTTCAGCTTTTACTAAATATTATTGTCTTGCCCCTCGATTCTCCTAGGCTTGTCCTCTTTTCTTCTGGGCCGTGAGCATATGAGACCAGCTAATTTGAGTGCCCATAAGCTACAGAAAGTGTGCCTAGACTTCAGAATGCTTTGCTGATAACTGGCCAAATTCCTTCCATTTCTAACAGAATCTCCTTAGTGATTTGAAAGGAGCACTTGTATATATGAGCCCTATTAAATAGATTTGAACATGGTATCCAGAATACTCTCTAGAAATTTTAATAAAAAGTATGTATTTGGTCAAAATGTTGGACTATTTTGAAAATGAAGTTATTTTCTATGATGATTAAGATGAGTCGTTAGAAAAAATATTCAAAAGCTTCCTCAAATAATGGAAATGAATATTAAAAATAATTGTGTTTTTTCATAGTATCTGCCAAGAATAAACTTAGTTTTATAAGTGGGGAATAAATAAAGCTTGTTTATTACCGGACTAGAAATGCTTTAATATGCTGTTGTTGGTAAACAAACTTTAATTTCATTTTTAAGACAATACTGTGTTATTATCAGGGTTTATTGGTACATGGTTATTAACTTAGTTTGGGAACTTGTCCAAATTAATCATCTTTATAAACAAATCCATTTAAAAAATGAATTTGTTACAATATCATTCTACTGTTAATTCTCCATGCTAATATCTCAAGTCAAAAATCAAGGTTAGGAAAATAGCACTTAATAGCACTTATAGTTACAGAAAACTTATAGAAAACAGACTTATGGTTTACTAAGATTGGTGAATTTGCAAAAGTACTCTCAATTTGTAGACTACAAAAATTTTTAATGAATCTATATTAAAACAAGTTTATTAATTAATAAATCATATTGAAATCCTCTATATCTTTACTTTTTATCTGTTTGACATTACATAGTGATAAAAGCTTCTACTATAATTGTCTTTTTAAAAAATCATCCTTGCATTTCTTTCTTTTGTTTCATTTTCTGTTTGTCATTGACGCATGAAGCTTCATGACATCCATTCTATGTAGAGTAGGTCTTTTCTCTTTAAAAAATACCTGACAGCATCCCCTTTATGCTTTTTGCCTTGAATTCTAATTTGTCTAATAGCAACTTTACCATCACTATTTCTTTTTGATTTTGTATGCATAGTAAATCTTTTCCAATCATTTATTTTTAGTTTTTTTAAAATTATTTGATTTTTAGCATGTTTCTTATCAGTAATAAGAGGCGATCCTCACCTCGCACATTACCACATTAACTGAAAGTCATTCATCTCAGAACCTTGTTTTCACTCTGCACTTAGCGAGTACGAGATTCCGATACGCACAACTTTCAGTTAACACGGTACTGTGCAAAGTGAGAATGATCTCTATCTTGATTTTTCTTTTCTACCCTATTTGAAAGTCATTATTTATAAAAGCAGATTTTAATGATCATAACTTTGCTTTTTATCTTTTTTCTGCAACCTTAGTTTATATTTTCTGTTTATTGCATTTTATTTTTCTTTCCTTTTTTCCCTTGATCTTTTCAGAGTTCTCATTTTCTTGGTTTGTCTTTTTTGCTCATTGGTTTTTAATGATATCAGCGTTCCACATTATTGAAATTTGAAGCATAGGAATAGATTTCTTTTTTCAGGTAAATATATACTTTAGTTTATATATATGAGTTCCAATTAATCATAATTAGGCATTGAGTATAAAATCACTACTTTTCAAGTCTGTGCAAATCCAACAAAAGTTTTTAACTAGTAAATTTTAAAGTATTATTTAAACTTATAATTTCTGTATCTGTGGCTAATGATTAGAGATTAACTTGGAACACAAGTTCTTAGTCATCTTTGTGTGGAGTAGTGTATGGTATGGATGGATTACATTTAAAGTCAGAAGACATTGAGTTAAATTTCACTTCTACTTACTATTAGCTGCGTAACATTAAATATTACCTAATCGTGCCAAATAACCATTTTGGTATTTGTGAGATGAAATTAACACCAGCAACATCATAAGGTTTTCGAGAACATTCAATAAGACAATATATGCAAAGCACCTTTGTTTGTTGTGTAAGACATAGGTGTTAACTGCTATTTCTCCTGAGATTGTGGATGCTGTTGGATCAAGTCTTAACTGTTTTTGTTAGGTGGAGTGGAAGCCACATAAGATGGGGCCAGCCCTTCCGACTACGCCACGTCACAACAGGAAAGTACTTGAGTCTCATGGAAGACAAAAGCCTTCTGCTCATGGACAAAGAAAAAGCTGATGTAAAATCAACAGCATTTACCTTCCGATCTTCCAAGGTAAGACAGGAGATATAATTTTGGATTTCCTGTAAGTGTGTCCCGCCACATTTCCTTTGATGTTAGAAATACAAGAAGTGATGTGAGCGTGTTTCGTGTGGATTTCTAAATTCCCACTTTCTCTTCCACGCATTCCTCTCGTGCTCTTGTTGCACAGCCACATGATGGTAAAGCATACCAGAACCTTTCTCTCAAAGGCACATTTGCACATCCGCTCTCATACACACACTTTTCTTCTTATGTCCGATGAATCATTTGTAAGGACAAAACCTCTAGGAGAACCCTTAAGATCTTAGATGAGAATCTCTCTGAACCAGGTGATGAGTAGAATAGGAAAGAATAAATGCATATCCTAGTCAAGTGGGAATGCTGGTGCTCCAGCACAGCTGCCCACTCAGTACCTCGTGAGTGGTTCCTAACTCACCAACCCCATGGTGCAGTGGATTCCTAATCATGCCTCAGCAAAATAACGAATGTTCTGAGTGGTGAAGTGTCTCAGGAATAGTTGAAAATAGCACAGGTTCAACTGAAAAATGCCAGTCATCTATTGTATTCATTTTTATGATAATTATGTATATTTCTGTCCTTATTTTAATAAAGAATGAGAAATTTGGGCATAATGATAGGAATGGAGTTGAATTACCAGTTAGCTTTTTTCTCAGAAGCTTTATACCCCTGTTATAGATAAAAGTAAGTTTGGGCGAGACCAGGAGTAACTCCGAAAAGACAGTAGCTTGAAGCTACATCCCTAATGCCTTTCTCTCAAGACTCCTGCTTTGGAGTAAACAGAATGGTGGAAGATGCTTCTGATTCAGTGAATTCCCCAGAGATCTCCATCTCCAGGAAAGACAGCCAGTGTAGTCTCTATTCTCTATGGTAAAAATAGACAAAGCTGGTCAACTCCAGTGGATAATCTTAGACAGGATCTTCATATATTATATTTGTTGTGTGGACCCGTAGAGGGGCTCTGAATGAGGTACTTCAGTGGACATCAGGTGGGCAGTTTCTCCTTATCTCTGTAGTTGGAAAGCACAGTTGATCTCATTGTGAACAGACTTGGTGCTGATGGACTTCCTCCTCAAGCGTAGCTAAGCAGAGGAGTGGAAATTTGCTAGTTTATCCACTGATAGCATTTCAATCCAAAAAGACAAAACTTCAGTCCACTAAAGAGGAATCAGTTATCTGATGGTGGAAGCTCTTTTCAAGTAGAAAAGATGTTACCTATGAAAATGACATATAGCTTGATGGCAGAAAATTAGAAAAACTAAAAGAAATGCATGGCATCCTAGAAAAATGTAATTTACCGAAATAAAATCCCAAAGAAATAGAAGAACCTGAACAGGCATTCACAATGAAAGACATGGGGAAAGTTTTTTAAGATAGAGCATTTAAAAAGGCAAAATATATCTAATAAAAATTGGAGGATAAGGAGAGAAAGTCAAAGGTACAGTATGTGTTCCAATTGCCTCCTATGAAGTAGTTAGAAGTTAAATAATATCTTTTTAAAACTTAAAAATTCACATAATAGAAACAAGATCTTTGACAGTTAAAACGTAAACACTGAGATATTAAAAAAAAATTTACTAAATAAGGTGGCAGAAGAATGGGAAGTTGGTGAGAAAAGGAGAAAAACGCTACCCTCATCATCGTACATAATCCAGCCTAGTGAAAGGAGGCCATAGACACGCAGATGGCCACAGAGACGCACTGCCAACAAAGAAAATAGACCACATAGTGAATGACTGGGAAAAAGATAAATATAAACACAGAATACCTGAGTATGCTAGAGTGAAGACCCAATCTATTTGCCTTATCAATAGATATAAATGGGCTAAAATCACAATTTAAAATAAAAATTTCATATGGAATCATGAGGTATAAATTATGCTGACATTTAGAGACACACCTAAAACACTTTATTTGGAAAGGTTGCAAATGAAAAGATGGCTAATGGAATACCAGGAAGATATAAACAAAAAGAGAGAAGAGAATCTGATCTTAATATCAGATGAGGAGGAATTCAGGCAAAGGAAAGCATTGAGTGAGACAAAGAAGGATACTTTATAGTATTAAAGAGTACAATTCACTGAAGATATAACAGTTACAAAATCTATGTACCAAGTAAAATAACATAGTATTAATATTCATAAAACAAAACCTACTTGTCCAAGTCACTGGGCTGGGAGTGCAGAAGAGCCAGTCAGTGCCAGGTTATCTCTGCCCCAAACCACGTAACCACGGTGGGTTTAAATAACCAGGCCTTAGCTCCAGGCCTGGAATCCTAAGCTGGTTTGTTCACTCATTCACCCCCAGATTGTCAGGGCTGCCACAGGAGCCCCGAGACCTTGCAGGACTTCACACAGCTGAAGCATCACTCCACCCCTCCGTAGGCTCCCAGGCAGCAGCCTGACTCTGTTGTCGAACTATGGTCTCCAAAAATCCTCCTGTTGCTATAGAAAGCTGAATACTGGCACAGTTTTTCTCTTCTCGTTCTTTCTGTAACAATCCTAATTCTCCAGGAGGTAAATGGATGCCTCTGTCAAAACAGGGGCTAGTTTATTCACATAGAAATGCAAATGCAAATGGGAAAAGTATATTAACATATTTCAAAACTTTCTTGCATACATATAGCCATTGATCTAGCAATCTATGTTTTTTTTTAATGAGTGGTGTTGTCTTACAGAAATAAAATAAAATCTGTGCAAGTTAATGTCATCATTCTTTGACATGGCAAAAAACTGGAAAAGACCCAAATATTCACCAAATATATTTGATAGCTAAGTGGTATTACCTACCAGAATATATCGACCAGAAAAGATATCCACGATAATATTGTTGAGTGAAAAAAGAGCAAGTTGTGGGACCAGCCTGGTGGCGTAGTGGTTAAGTTCATGTGCTCTGCTTTGGCAGCCCAGGGTTCACGGGTTCAGATCCTGGGTGTGGACCTACCTACTGCTCCTCAAGCCATGCTCTGGCAGCATCCCATATACAAAGTAGAGGAAAATGGGCACGGATGTTAGCTCAGGGATAGTGTTCCTCAAGCAAAAAGAGGAAGATTGGCAACAGATCTTAGCTCAGGGCCAATCTTCCACACACACACACACACACACACAAAAAGCAAGTTGTAATGTAATAAAAAAATCTCATTTTTTTTAAATTAAAAAAGAAATCCTCGTGTGTCTGTTTATATATCATTATATGATACATATGGAAGGATCTACACTAACCTTTTAATTTTGAGTACTTGAGAAAGATCAAAATGGAAGGTTTATGAGAATATGAATGCAGGGGAAAATTTTTTGTTTGACTAAAAAAACAAGTCTTTGCGTTCTGTTTTGCCTATTACAATAGCCTGTTTCTTTTGTAACAAAAAAAAAAAATCAGTTAAAAAAACAGCCAATGCACTGACATTCTTGAACATAAATTTTGTGCACATTTTTGATTTATTTTTTGGGATGGATTCCTCGAAATGGAAATATTGACTCAAAAGCTCTGAATATTTTCAAAAGCTCTTGATAAAAATTCTTGCCCAAAGCAATAGCTTTTGAAATATTTTTCTCCCAATATCTCTGCTAATATTCTGTCAATGTTAGAGTGTTGCTTGCTTTTAAAGAATTTTACTGGCCAGATCCTTCTGTGGTCTCTGCTTAGGAATTCTGCTTCTGTGTTTTGGCAATTGTGTGATGTCATGGCTTATACTGATGGCAGAGAGACGGAGGATCCCAACGCTGCTTTTGAATCTGCTACTCAGTTTCTCTAAAGCTCCTCTCCTGCCTGGTACTCATTTATGGAACCGCTCTGATATAATATAAGGTTGTTAATCCCTTGCTGTCATACAGTCCACTCATTTAATTCACAGTGATTATTGCAAAGGATAACATGGTTGAGGGTAGTGAAGGTGGAGATGAAATCCAAGAAAACGTTTTATTTTTAAAATGACCTTCGAATTTTAATTTAATTTTATTTATTTATTTTTTGTGAGGAGTTCAGCCCTGTGCTAACATCTGCCAATCCTCCTCTTTTTTTTTTTTTTTTTTTTTGAGGAAGGCTCGCCCTGGGCTAACATCCGTGCCCATCTTTCTCCACTTTATATGGGACGCCGCCACAGCATGGCTTGCCAAGCAGCGCGTTGGTGCACGTCCGGGATCCGAACCAGTGAACCCCGGGCCACCGCAGCAGAGAGCGAGCACTTAACTGCTTGCGCCACTGGTCCGGACCCCGAATTTTAATTTTAAAATCATTGGCAGATTAGGTAATAAAGTTTTTTTTCCATGAGGTAGAGACAGTAACTCTTTCTATTATTTCTTTGTAAAATTAATTTTTTTATTTATTTAATGCATAGTCATATAGAAAACCTTAAAAGGGAATACAAAAATGTGGTAAGGAGAAAATTAAAATTATGTACAATTCATCACTCAGAAACAATTCTATCGTGTGTTTGTGTATTACAGTTTTTAGCAAATATATACATATTTTGATAATAGGGCTAATTATATGCTATATTGTATTTAGTTTTTATTTAATATACTACTGTATTCCTTTTTTAATAGAATTCTGAGAATAATTCAACATTCTATTATGTAGATTTATCATAATTTTTTCAGCCACTTCCTTATGTTTGAATATTTAATTTTTAGTTTTGCACCTGTAAATTGAACATTTTGTCTCTGTATGTTTCTGTATGTTGCTGACTGCTCCCTTTTTGGAAGTTGAACTATTTGGTTCAATAATATGAAACTTTTAAGTAAGGTTTTTGATTTTGGAAGATCTCAGAGGCTGGAGGACTGTGACTGTTTTATACACCATACAATGGTGCCTGCCACTTAATGGGTCTGGTAATGCTTCAGTGAATGAGCGCTCCTAGCCAAAGGATTCTTCAGAAATTTGTGCCAGTATTCATTCTAAGCAGCAGTGTCTGAAAGGTTACATTTCTGTGCAACCTCATCAACAGATAATTGTTAAAAATTTTTGCTAATTCTGATAAATAAAAATCAATCATA